ATTTCCATTATTTCCCCAAAACCGATTACCCAACAAAACCTTATTTTCCCAAATTTAAAACCCCTTTCCCCTTAAAACCCCTCTAACCCCGCTATTAACCCCCCAAAAAAACCCTATACCCCCCTATAAAACCATCCCGAAAAAACAAATTTTCCCCCAATTTAAAAACCCTTATTATCCCCCCCAAAAAACCCTCTATTACCCAAAACCCTTAAAACCCCCATAAAAATTTCCCAGAATTTAAAAAGTTATTTTCCCAAAATTAAACCGTTTTTTTCCCAACTTTAAAACCCGAAAATTCCCCAAAAAACCGTCCCCAATTTAACCAATTTTTACCCCGTTCCTTTTTTCCCAAAACCCTTTTACCCCCCCCCCCCCCCAATTTAAAAAACCCCCCTATTACAAACCATTATTTCCCCCAAATAAAACCCGTCCAATTAACCAGAAACCCAATAAACCTCTATTACCCCACTAAAAAAAATTTTTTTTAAAACCCTTTTTTCCCAATAAAACCCCGCTTTAAACCAACCTTTAAAAACAACCCCCCAAAAAACCCCCCAATTAAAAAAAAAGCTATTTAAAACCCCTTAAACCCCCCCTTTTCCCCAAAAAACAAATAACCACCCCTTTTTCCCGCTTAAACCGTTTTTCCCCTATAAACCCAATTTTAACAAAAAATTTTTTCCCAGAAAAAAAAACCATTATTACCCCGACTAAAAAACCCCATAAACATCCAATTTTAAACAAAACCATTTATTTCCCCCCCAAAAAAAACTTTTTTTGCTTAAAAAATTTTTCAAAAAAAAAAGGGCCCCCCCTTTTTCCCCCCAAAACCGGGCCCCCTTGGGAAACAGAAAGAAAAAACCCCCAAACCCATTTCCCGAAATTTAAAAAAATCCCATTAAAAAACCCCGCTACCCCCCAAATATTTCCCAAAAATCCCAAAAACCAAGGGACCCCTTCCCGTTAAATACGCCCAAAAGTAAAACCAGCCTATTTTTTCCCCTACCCTTTTTCCCGGGTAAACCCAACCCGGGCCAAAACCCCCCCTTTTATCCCTGTAAAACCACCCTTTACCCCTTCCCCCTTTTTCCCGTAAAATTTTTTAAAAACCCCCCCAAAATTTCCCTTAAAACCCCCCTAAACCCCCGGAAAGAAAAACCCAAACCCCAAGCCCCAATCCCCGTTTTTTTTCCCCCCCCCCTTTAAAAAATTTCCCAGGAAATCCCTTTTTCCCAAAACCCAAGACCCGGGGGTCCAATTCCCAAAAAAACCCATTTCCCCCCTTCCCCCCTTTTTCCGCTACCCGTTTTTCCCCCCCAAAAAAAAAATCCCCCAAAGTTTCCCAGGGATAAAAAAAAAAACCCCCCAAAAAAAACCAGGTTTATCCCCAAAAAAAACCCCATTTCCCAGGAAAAACCATAAAAGGGTTAAAAACATCCCCAATTTTCCCCCCCCGAACCTTTTAGCCCCAAAGGGAACCCCCCCCGAAAACCCCCCTTTTCCCCTTAAAAATTTTTTTAAACCCCCTTTTTCGAAGGGGGATCCGTTATCCCCTTAAAAACCCGGGAAAACCCCTTTCCCGAAGTTTTCCCCGTTAAATGCCCTGGTACCGCTATGCCCGGGTATCCCCCCCAGGGGCCCCCCCATGGTATCCAACCCCAGGGCCCATTGGTACCCCAACCCCGGATGCCCCAGGGTATCCAGCTATGCCCATGGTATCCACCATCCCCCATGGTATCCCTATGCCCATGGTATCCAGCATCCCATGACCAGCTTTAGGGCCCATCCCCTTTCCCCGTTTGGGCCCAGGGCCCTTATCCCACTACCACATGGTATCCAGCTATGCCCATGTTCCCAGCTATGCCCATGGTACCACTATTCCCATGGTACCGTATGCCCATGATCCACTATCCCCGGTATCCAGCTATGCCATGGTACCACTTGCCAGGGATCCAGCTATGCCCATGGTACCACTAGCCCATGTTACAGCCCCTGAAAAGGGTATCCCAGCTATGGCCCCATGGTACCCAGCATGCCCAGGGTACCCACTATGCCCAGGACCAGCATGCCCTGGTATCCAGCTATGCCCTGGTATCCCTATGCCGGTATCCCTATCCCTGTACCCAGCTATGCCAGGGTATCCACTATGCCCGGGTTTCCAGCAATCCCCAGGGTTCCAGCTTGCCCATGGTATCCAGCTTTGGGTTCCCCAAGGTATCCGCTATGCCCATGGTATCCACTATGCCCAGGTATCCAGCTATGCCCATGTTACCCAGCTTGCCCAGGGTATCCAGCTTGCCATGGTTCCAGTTTATGCCCAGGTACCATTTTCCATGGTACCGCTATCCATGTTATCCGTATGCCCATGGTACCAGTATCCCATGGACCGATCCAGCATGCCCATGGTATCCAGCTATATGTCCCATGGTATTCCAGCTATGCCCATGGCTATCCAGCTATGCCCCATTGTATCCAAGCTATGCCCATTGGTTATTCCAGCTATCGCCCCATGGTTATCCAGCTATGCATGGTATTCCAGCTATGCACCATGGTTATCCAGCTATGTTCAATGGTATCCAGCTATGGCCCATGGTAATCCAGCTATGCCCATGGTATCCAGCTTATGCCCCATGGTTATCCAGCTATGCCCATGGTATCCAGCTATGCCCATGGTATCCAGCTATGCCCATGGTATCCAGCTATGCCCATGGTATCCAGCTATGTCCATGGTATCCAGCTATGCCCATGGTATCCAGCTATGCCCATGGTATCCAGCTATGCCCATGTTATCCAGCTATGCCCATATTATCCAGCTATGCCCATGGTATCCAGCTATGCCCATGTTTTTCCAGCTATGCCCATATTATCCAGCTATCCCCCATGGTATCCAGCTATGTCCATGGTATCCAGCTATCCCATGGTTATCCAGCTATCCCATGGTATCCAGCTATGTCCATGGTTCCAGCTAGGGCCCGGGTTTCCCAGCTATGCCCATGGTATCCAGCTATGCCCATGTTTCCAGCTATGCCCATATTATCCAGCTATGCCCATGGTATCCAGCTATGCCCATGGTATCCACTAGCCCATGCTATCCAGCTATGCCCATGGTGCCACTCTGCCCCATGTTTCCAGCTATGCCCGGTATCCAGCTATGCCCATGTTATCCAGCTATGCCCATGGTATCCAGCTATGCCCATGGTATCCAGCTTTTCCCATGGTATCCAGCTATGCCCATGTATCCAGCTAGGGCCCAGGGTATCCACTATGCCCATGGTATCAGCTATGCCCATGGTATCCAGCCATGCCCATGGTTCCAGCTATGCCCATGCTATCCAGCAAATGCCATGGTATCCAGCTATGCCCATGGTATCCAGCTATGTCCATGGTATCCACTATGCCAGGGTTACCAGCTATGCCCATGCATCCACTAGGGCCATGCTATCCATATGGCCCATGGTATCCAACTATGCCCTGGTATCCACTATGCCCATGGTATCCACTATGCCCATGGTATCCCGCTAGCCCATGGTATCCAGCTATGCCCATGGTATCCAGCTATGCCCATGTATCCAGCTATGTCCATGGTTCCAGCTATGCCCATGGTATCCAGCTTGCCCATGGTATCCACTATGCCCATGTTATCCAGCTATGCCCTATTATCCAAGCTATGCCCATGGTATCCAGCTATGCCCATGTTATCCAGCTATGCCCATATTATCCAGCTATGCCCATGGTATCCAGTATGTCCCATGGATCAGCTATGCCCATGGTATCCAGCTATGCCCATGGTATCCAGCTATGTCCATGGTATCCAGCTATGCCCATGGTATCCAGCTATGCCCATGGTATCCAGCTATGCCCATGTTATCCAGCTATGCCCATGTTATCCAGCTATGCCCATGGTATCCAGCTATGCCCATGGTATCCAGCTATGCCCATGCTATCCAGCTATGCCCATGGTGTCCAGCTATGCCCCATGTTATCCAGCTATGCCAATGGTATCCAAGCTATGCCCATGTTATCCAGCTATGCCCATGGATCCAGCTATGCCCATGGTATCCAGCTATGCCCATGGTATCCAGCTATGCCCATGGTATCCAGCTATGCCCATGGTATCCAGCTATGCCCATGGTATCCAGCTATGCCCATGGTATCCAGCTATGCCCATGGTATCCAGCTATGCCCATGGTATCCAGCTATGCCCATGGTATCCAGCTATGCCCATGGTATCCAGCTATGCCCATGGTATCCAGCTATGCCCATGTTATCCAGCTATGTGCCTTGTAGTGGCTGCAGCACCTTTTGTTACTTTATTCTACTGAATATAAAGTGAGACGCATGTAAGTATGTTGACACTTTTAGGCTTGTATCTGTGCATATTCCAGACAGTGTGTTTTAGTAGTATGAACTTCTCACCTCACTACAGTGGGATAGAGCTCAGCTGTAATGAACATACCTCACTACAGTGGGACTGAGCTCAGCTGTAATGAACATACCTCACTACAGTGGGATAGAGCTCAGCTGTAATGAATATACCTCAGTACAGTGGGATAGAGCTCAGCTGTAATGAATATACCTCACTACAGTGGGATAGAGCTCAGCTGTAATGAACATACCTCACTACAGTGGGATAGAGCTCAGCTGTAATGAACATACCTCACTACAGTGGGACTGAGCTCAGCTGTAATTAACATACCTCACTACAGTGGGATAGAGCTCAGCTGTAATGAACATACCTCACTACAGTGGGACTGAGCTCAGCTGTAATAAACATACCTCACTACAGTGGGACTGAGCTCAGCTGTAATGAACATACCTCACTACAGTGGGACTGAGCTCAGCTGTAATGAACATACCTCACTACAGTGGGACTGAGCTCAGCTGTAATGAACATACCTCACTACAGTGGGATAGAGCTCAGCTGTAATGAACATACCTCACTACAGTGGGACTGAGCTCAGCTGTAATGAACATACCTCACTACAGTGGGATAGAGCTCAGCTGTAATGAACATACCTCACTACAGTGGGATAGAGCTCAGCTGTGTAAACATAGACGATGGTGAAGGAGGCAGCCAGGGCAAACTTCCCCAACACGGCTATGACTGTCGTCACTACCGGCAGGTCTGAGGGAGGAGAAACAATCAGACAGAGAATCTGTTAAACGTGTTGAATGACACAAAGTGTTAAAGGTGCTTAAGAATTAAAACTAGTGTCAAAAGTGTTTAAAAAATAACACTTAAAGCTAGACTCCATAATTGGTGAAACAGTCGTTTGGGATATTTACAACAAAGAAGTAAACAACAGTGTTTTTTATTTCCTCAGACATCACGATAAAACAGCAGAATATGTACTGCAGTAGTTTTACCGCGCTGTCGGACGCTCCTCCACTCCGTTTATCAACAGAAGGGCGGAGGAGTGGTGCTATTTTAACAAATGCGGATTCGATCTTCAAGTGTTAAAACAACACAATAATGTAAAAAGTGTTCAAATAACAGCACAAAAGATCCACTTTCATAAAATATAAATTTTACCATCTGGAATAGCAAGAAGAACGAGACAGGCTGTGCCTCCAAAGAACAGGGCGATGGCCTGACAGATCCTCCGTCCAAAGTGTTCGATGAGGGGCAGGGAGCCCAGCCGGGCGGGGAGCTCAGCCAAACCAAAGATCAACTGGGTCAGATATATGTCCAGACCAAAGTTACCCACGTTTAGACTCACCCCGTAGTACACCAGACTGGTTACAAACCTGACAGAGAGAGAGAGAGAGAGAGAGAGAGAGAGAGAGAGAGAGAGAGAGAGAGAGAGAGAGAGAGAGAGAGAGAGAGAGAGAGAGAGAGAGAGAGAGAGAGGAGAGAGAGAGAGAGAGAGAGAGAGAGAGAGAGAGAGAGAGAGAGAGAGAGAGAGAGAGAGAGAGAGAGAGAGAGAGAGAGAGACCAAAAACGTAACTTGGCTATACTTAAACTCTTTAACATCATCCTCAGCTCTGGCATCTTCCCTAATATTTGGAACCAAGGACTGATCACCCCAATCCACAAAAGTGGAGACAGATTTGACCCCAATAACTACTGTGGGATATGCATCAACAGCAACCTTGGGAAAATCCTCTGAATTATCATTAACAGCAGACTGGTACATTTCCTCAGTGAAAACAATGTACTGAGCAAATGTCAAATTGGCTTTTTACCAAATTACCGTACGACAGACGACGTATTTACCCTGCATACCCTAATTGACAAACAAAACAAAACAAAGGTCTTCTCATGTTTTGTTGATTACAAAAAAGCTTTTGATTCAATTTAAAATCAAATCATATTTTATTTGTCACATGCGCCGAATACAACAGGTGTAGACTTACAGTGAAATGCTTCCTGACAAGCCCTTAACCAACAGTGCAGTTTTAAGAAAAAAATAGACAACTAAAAAAATTCAAAATAAAATAATTAAAGAGCAGCAGTACAATAACAGTAGGGAGGCTATATACAGGGGGGTACCGGTACAGGGTCAATGTGCGGGGGCACCGGTTAGTCGAGGTAATTGAGGTAATATGTACATGTAGGTAGAGTTAAAGTGACTATGCATAGATAATAAACAGAGAGTAGCAGCAGCGTAAAAATATGGGGTGGGGGTGCAAATAGTCCGGGTAGCCATGATTAGCTGTTCAGGAGTCTTATGGCTTGGGGGTAGAATCTGTGAAGAAGCCTTTTTGACCTAGACTTGGCGCTCTGGTACCGCTTGATTTGTGGTAGCAGAGAGAACAGTCTATGACTAGGGTGTCTGGAGTCTTTGACCATATTTAGGGCCTTCCTCTGACACCGCCTGGTACAGAGGTCCTGGATGGCAGGAAGCTTGGTCCCACTGATGTACTGGGCCGTACGCACTAACCTCTGTAGCGCCTTGCGGTCGGAGGCCGAGCAGTTGCCATACCAGGCAGTGATGCAACCAGTCAGGATGCTCTCGATGGTGCAGCTGTAGAAACTTTTGAGGATCTGAGGACCCATGCCAAATCTTTTCAGTCTCCTGAGGGGGAATAGGCTTTGTCGTGCCCTCTTCACGACTGTCTTGGTGTGTTTGGACCATGATAGTTTGTTGGTGATGTGGACACCAAGGAACTTGAAGCTCTCAACCTGCTCCACTACAGCCCCGTCGATGAAAATAGGGGCGTGCTAGGCCCTCTTTTTCCTGTAGTCCACAATCATCTCCATTGTCTTGAATTTGGCATGAGGGTCTGTTATACAAATTGATGGAAAGTGATGTTGGGGGGAAAACATACGACATTCTAAAATCAATGTACACAAACAACAAGTGTGAAGTTAAAATTGGCAAAAAACACATTTCTTCCACAAGCCGTTAGGTGAGACAGGGATGCACTTTGAGCCCCACCCTCTTCAACATACATTTCATTTGGAAAGTATTCAGACCCCTTGTCTTTTACAGCCTTATTCTAAAATGGATTAAATTGTTTTTTTCCACCTCACACAATAATGACAAAGCAAAAACAATTTTTTTGAAATTTTAGCAAATGTATTACAAATAAAAAAGTGTAATGTCACATTTACATAAGCATTCAGACCCTTTACTCCGTACTTTGTTGAAGCACCTTTGGCAGTAATTACAGCCTCAAGTCTTCTTGGGTATGATGCTACAAGCTTGGCACACCTGTATTTGGGGAGTTTCTCCCATTCTTCTCTGCAGATCCTCTCAAGCTCTGTCAGGTTGGATGGGTAGAGTCGCAGCACAGCTATTTTCAGGTCTCTCCAGAGATGTTCGATCGGGTTAAAGTCTGGGTTCTGGATTGTCCACTCAAGGTTATTCCGAGACTTGTCCCGAAGCCACCCCTGCGTTGTATTGGCTGTGTGCTTAAGGTCGTTGTCCTGTTGGAAGGTGAACCTTCACCCCAGTCTGAAGTCCTGAGCAGGTTTTCATCAAGGATCTCGCTGTACTTTGCTCCGTTCATCTTTCCCTCGATCCTGACTAGTCTCCCAGTCCCTGCAGCTGAAAAACATCCCCACAGCATGATGCTGCCACCACCATGCTTCACCGTAGGGATGGTGCCAGGTTTCCTCCAGACGTGACTCTTGGCATTCAGGCCAAAGAGTTCAATCTTGGTTTCAGTCTTTCGGTGCCTTTTGGCAACTCTAAGCGGGCTGTCATCTGCCTTTTACTGAGGAGTGGCTTCCGTCTGGCCACTCTACCATAAAGGCCTGATTGGTGGAGTGCTGCAGAGATGGTTGTCCTTCTGGAAGGTTCTCCCATCTCCACAGAGGAACTCTAGAGCTCTGTCAGAGTGACCATCAGGTTCTTGATCACCTCCCTGACCAAAGCCCTTCTCCTCCAATTGCTCAGTTTGGCCGGGCAGCCAGTTCTAGGAAGAGTCTTGGTGGTTCCAAACTTCTTCAATTTAAGAATGATGGAGACCACTGTGTTCTTGGAGGCCTTCAATGCTCAGACATTTTTTGGTACCCTTCCACAGATCTGTGCCTCGACACAATCCTGTCTCGGAGCTCTACGACGGACAATTCCTTCGACCTCATGGCTTGGTTTTTGCTCTGATATGCACTGTCAACTGTGGGATCTTATATAGACAGGTGTGTGCCTTTCCAAATCATGTCCAATCAATTGAATTTACCACAGGTGAACTCCAATCAAGTGGTAGAAACATCTCTACTCTCTCCTCTTCCATCCTATCATCTCTTCCCTCTGCTCAATCCTTCTCCCTCCAATCTCCTGATTCTGCCTCCTCAACCCTCCTCTCCTCCCTTTCTGCATCCTTTGACTCTCTATGTCCCCTATCCTCCCGGCCGGCTCGGTCCTCCCCTCCAGCTCCGTGGCTTGATGACTCATTGCGAGCTCACAGAACAGAGCTCCGGGCAGCTGAGCGGAAATGGAAGAAAACTAGACTCCCTGCAGACCTGGCATCTTTTCACTCCCTCCTCTCTACATTTTCTTCATCTGTTTCTGCTGCTAAGGCCACTTTCTACCACTCTAAATTCCAAGCATCCGCCTCTAACCCTAGGAAGCTCTTTGCCACATTCTCCTCCCTGCTGAATCCCCCCCCCCCCCCCCCCCTCCCTCTCTGTGGATGACTTCGTCAACCATTTTGAGAAGAAGGTTGACGACATCCGATCCTCGTTTGTTAAGTCAAATGACACTGCTGGTCCTGCTCACACTGCCCTACCCTATGCTTTGACTTCTTTCTCCCCTCTCTCTCCAGATAAATCTTGCGACTTGTGACGGCAGGCCGCCCAACAACCTGCCCGCTTGACCCTATCCCCTCCTCTCTTCTCCAGACCATCTCCAGTGACCTTCTCCCTTACCTCACCTCGCTGATCAACTCATCCTTGACCGCTGGCTATGTCCCTTCCGTCTTCAAGAGAGCGAGAGTTGCACCCCTTCTCAAAAAACCAACACTCGATCCCTCCGATGTCAACAACTACAGACCAGTATCCCTTCTTTCTTTTCTCTCCAAAACTATTGAGCGTGCCGTCTTTAGCCAACTCTCTTGCTATCTCTCTCAGAATGACCTTCTTGATCCAAACCAGTCAGGTTTCAAGACTGGTCATTCAACTGAGACTGCTCTTCTCTGTGTCACAGAGGCTCTCCGCACTGCTAAAGCTAACTCTCTCTCCTCTGCTCTTGTCCTTCTAGACCTGTCTGCTGCCTTTGATACTGTGAACCATCAGATCCTCCTCTCCACCCTCTCCGAGCTGGGCATCTCCGGCGCGGCTCACTCTTGGATTGCGTCCTACCTGACCGGTCGCTCCTACCAAGTGGCGTGGCGAGAAGCTGTCTCCGCACCATGTGCTCTCACCACTGGTGTCCCCCAGGGCTCAGTTCTAGGCCCTCTCCTATTCTCGCTATACACCAAGTCACTTGGCTCTGTCATATCCTCACATGGCCTCTCCTATCATTGCTACGCTGAAGACACACAACTAATCTTCTCCTTTCCCCCTTCTGATAACCAGGTGGCGAATCTTATCTCTGCATGTCTGGCATACATATCAGTATGGATGACGGATCACCACCTCAAGCTGAACCTCGGCAAGACGGAGCTGCTCTTCCTCCCGGGGAAGGACTGCCCGTTCCATGATCTCGCCATCACGGTTGAAAACTCCGTTGTGTCCTCCTCCCAGAGTGCGAAGAGCCTTGGCGTGACCCTGGACAACACCCTGTCGTTCTCCGCTAACATCAAGGCGGTGACCCGATCCTGTAGGTTCATGCTCTACAACATTCGGAGAGTACGACCCTGCCTTACACAGGAAGCGGCACAGGTCCTAATCCAGGCACTTGTCATCTCCCGTCTGGATTACTGCAACTCGCTGTTGGCCGGGCTCCCTGCCTGTGCCATTAAACCCCTACAACTCATCCAGAATGCTGCAGCCCGTCTGGTGTTCAACCTTCCCAAGTTCTCTCACGTCACCCCGCTCCTCCGCACACTCCACTGGCTTCCAGTTGAAGCTCGCATCTGCTACAAGACCATGGTGCTTGCCTACGGAGCTGTGAGGGGAACGGCACCTCTGTACCTTCAGGCTCTGATCAGTCCCTACACCCAAACGAGGGCACTGCGTTCATCCACCTCTGGCCTGCTGGCTCCCCTACCTCTGCGGAAGCATAGTTCCCGCTCAGCCCAGTCAAAACTGTTCGCTGCTCTGGCACCCCAATGGTGGAACAAGCTCCCTCACGACGCCAGGACAGCGGAGTCACTCACCACCTTCCGGAGACATTTGAAACTCCACCTCTTTAAGGAA